GCCTCGGTTGTTAAGTGAATCAGTGCAGTTCTCAAGTTAGTAACACGGCTATGAAGTGAATCTGGCTTCCCCATTGACCTTGCTTGTCAGAAGGTTGCAAAAGGAGATCCCATGACCCCAGGACACTGCAGGCGTCATAAATGTGAGTCAGTTGCCAAGACTCTGAATTTTGATCACGTAGAACAAGGGTCTTCAAACCTGACAAGTTTAAGGCTTGTGGGCTTCAACTCCCAGAATTCCTGAGCTAACCTGACTGGGAGGAGGAATTCTGGGAGTTGAAGTCCACAAGTCTTAAAGCTCTCAAGTTTGAAGTCTCCTGATGTAGAAGCTGCAACCATTGTAAATGTGAAAAACAATTATAAGTCCCTTTTTTTCCTGTGCCCTTTGTAACTTCGAATGGTCACTAAACGAATTGCCGTAAGTTGAGGACTACCTGTATATGCAATCTTCTTAACTTAAAGCCCTCTTCTTGGACTTCAGCACCAAGAATCCCCAGCCAGCATGCCCTGGAATTGAAAACCCAACACATTTGAAGGACACCTTTTTGTAGGCCGCTGGATTGGCAAACCCAGTTCTATCCTCTTCAAAGCAACAGTGATAATTATTTGTGGGGTTTTTTTTGGCGTCCCAGCCTTCTTGGGAAGGGATGTTGTCATTCTGTTCCCTAATTTTTTTCACCTCCAAGTGTCCTCCGAGGGCAACCTTGGTTGATGACTTCATGAAATGGTTGAGCTTGACCAGTTTTCTGCTTACGTTCTCACAGCCATCCCTCGGTGCCTTCTTTCCCATCCTGCCGGTTTAATTTCACAAAGTACAGAAAACATCTCCAGTCTTGTTGGGAGTTTCCCAAAAGGCCATTGCTCTCTCAGCACCTTAAAAAAGGAAGAAGAAAAAAAAAAAGAAGAAAACTTAGAAAAGGATTTCTCCCTTTCCCCCACTCCCCTTCTCCTGATCTTCCTTCCTCTCATGATGTCTGAATATTTTGGTGATGTTTAGGATGCTTGTGATGAATTTCATGGGTTGGAGTTGACTCACACGCATTTTCCCGGCAAAGCCGCCTCCTCCAGAGATCTCCTCTGTCTATTTTTCTCCCCCACCCTTTGCAGTGATAAATAAGAGACATGTGTTGCAATGTCAAAATCGTTCTTTCTAGGAAACCAGGATGACTGCACACTAAGAACAGCACGAGGCCCAAATATGGCTTTTCGCCCATCCTCTATAAACTAAACTTATCCCTCCGTCCCTTTATAAATCCATTCCGCTGCCTGTCTCTCTCTCCCTCTCGTGCGCGTGCATATTCACGCTAACCCTGTGTTCCCTTTTGTCTTTGTGTGTGTGTCTCTTTCTCACTGGCTCCGGTCTTCAGTTCCTCCACCAATGACCTGTCCAACTTCGACCATGGCTTTTTAAGAAGAAGTCCTGACCAGAACAGTTCCAGGGGAAGCATGGAGAGTCTGGACCATCTGCCGTCGGGATACGCCCATCCTTCCTGCCATCTTTCGCCGGCCAAATCCACCAGTAGCATCGACCAACTGGGTCACCTTCACAGCAAGCGGGATTCCGCTTACAGCTCTTTCTCCACCAGCTCCAGCACCCCGGAATATCAGCTGCCTCCCTTCTGCAAGGAGAGGTCCTACTCCATGGAGAACGTGCATTCCCGGGCCAGGCCGCAAGAAGGTGGCATGCGTCAAGCAGACATCAGGTACATTAAGACGGTCTACAATGCCCAGAGAGGAGTTTCAGAGGAATATGAAGTGAAGTCTTCTGCTCTCGTCCCCAGCAGTGAGGCCCACCCTCAAGGGTACAGCGCCAGCAGGCCGCATGGCCACCACAAAGGTCCACAGGCGCGGAATTCATTGGACAACGAGAGCCAGTACACCAAAGGGCCTCCCATGCCGCCCACCCGAAGTGATAGCTACGCGGCACTCAGGCACCATGACAGGCCCAGTTCTTGGTCTAGTCACGAACAAAGAAAGGCCTTGAGGACCCATTCTAAAAATGCTTGGCTTCTCCTAGGCCAGGGCACGCCGCCTACTGGACAGCTCTCAAAACCGGCATTCCTAGAAGGGCAACTCCACACCGTCATGGAGAGGAGTCCAGAGGGCAGTCCCATCATGAAGCCCAAACAAGGTTACCCCCAAGCTACTCAACCAGGACAGCCGCTGCTACCTACCGGCGTTTACCCCGTTCCTTCTCCCGAACCACATTTTGCTCAGGTTCCTCACCCTTCGGCGAACAACAGCGGGCTGGTGTACCCGGCACTTGCCAAAGAGAGCGGACACGCTCCGGCTCCGGCTTCTTTTCCCGCTTCCTACGAAAAGGCCATGCCCGGTAAGCCTCTTCCTGTCGTGGATGAGAACGGAAACCAGAGCATTCCAAGCAAATCAACCGTCTTCTACCATCCTGAATGTGGACCTTCCGGAGCAGGGAAGAAAAAGATGGACAACGAGACTTCGAAAGTCGTCTTGTACAGGACCCATCCCCAAGCTTACCCAACCTCTCCGAGACAGGAGGACGAAGCAGAGCCCACCTATAATATAGCACAACCCAACATCCAAGAAAGTGCGAACGAGGCCCAGTACTTGAACCATGCCTTTCAGCCTTGGTCATTTCACCTACGGGATGCGATGGCTGAGAGCAAAGCCTGCTGCCCGTCAAAGGCATACAGTTCAGAAGATCAACAAGCGGATAGGAATGCCAACCTGCCAATAAATGAGTGCGATCCTACCGCACAAAGCCAGTGGAATCCCAACAAGGCGAAGCAGTACCTGTTCTCTTCCTTGCAAAATATCCCAGAGAGTACTCAGCTTCAAAACCTCATGGATTTGAAGGAGATGCAATCAGGAAGGAATTGTCTGGGTGCCAAGTGGCATATTGTTAACTATGCCAACCAGGAAGAAAAGGATGTTAAAGAGCAGGTTCCAGAATATTGGCAGGACAGAGAATGGCATGCCACAGAAGATCACCGAGATGCCATTACTAGTGCTGATTATAGCCACGACACGGAACCAAATTTGGAGGAATCTTCCTCTCCGTTGCTCCCAAAGACCTCCGATTTCAGAGCTGACCAGTTCCGATCTTGCAGCAACAACAGCTTTCAGCCCCCCTGGTCTGGGAAAAAGGAATCTAGAAAGACCCGATGTACTGTGCTGGAGAAGGTCAGCAAGATAGAGCGACGGGAACAAGGCCATCAGCGTCCACAGAGCGCAAATAGCTTGAGCCAAAATTCAAAGAAGTCCGCCGTTGAAGATAGCCGACGTAGACATAACTCTCAAGAATACGGTCAATTGCTGGATGAACACGGCAGGCCGGCCAGCACAAATAACTCCGACCTGTACCCAAATGTACTCTACCTAAATGAAAGAAGTAGTAGCAAACCAGAAAAGTCCAACCGGTATTCTGCAGAGCAGCAGAGGGTAATCGCAGCGGCTTTGGTAGCACCGCCTGATCATCAGAGCACCTACCGCCACGGGTGCTCCAGCAAGGAGTCACACAAAAAGTCTGGGCAGCTACAAAGGAGCAGAAGTACGTTCCAACTGTTGGATGAAGCCGAGAGAGAGGTCTTACAGAAAGTCAGTGGTGCCAAGGAACCGCACGGTTCGCAGCGAGATGCCCCCGTTAACAGGACCTACAGGAACAGCATTAAGGATGCCCAGTCGAAAGTTTTGAGGGCCACCTCGTTCAGACGCAAGGACCTCAACATTAGCCCTGCCTTTGGGAAGGAGGTTCAGAGGAGTACCCCAAGACCCGCTTCAGCCCACACCGGGATGAGGAGCACAACAGCTTCTCCGCATACCCCAAAGGAGAGGCATAGCATCACACCGACGGAGATAAAGATGGATCCTACCAATAAAGACGCTCTCCCGGGACCTCTGCACGTGCACCGTATCGGGGGAAGGAAACGGCTGACTTCCGAGCAGAAAAAGAGGTCTTACTCTGAACCGGAGAAGATGAATGAAATAGGCGTCTCGGATAATGACCTCTCGCCGTCCTCGCTTCAGAAGAAGATGCTCCAGTTTGTCTTCCAAGAGAGCACCGTGGCTGACCGACGCAAGATCTTCGAGAAGGAGAACAAAGCTTGCTCCACCATCAATCTTTCCAGGCCGGAGCTGAAACAGCTGCAGCAAAACGCCCTGGCGGATTACATTAAGCGCAAAATTGGGAAGCGCCCCTCTTCGGCTTCCCAAGAAAGGGAAGGCTCGCAGACCCCATGCCGGCAAACGAACGGCCAAGAGAGTCAGCCTTTGTCCCCAGCTTCTAGCATGAATTCTCTCCAAGACCAGAGCCTCTTTCATACTAGGGAGTCTCTCGAATGGGCCTCTCGAATGGGCCATGTTTATTCTCCGCTGCCCGGGCTTCATGGTTGCTTTAATCCCGTTGAATTCGAGAGCAAGATGGCGGGCCACCCAAGTCATGGTGGCAGCAAAGGCTCCACGCCCAGTTGGCTAAAAGCAGATGGCCGCCCAGATCATAGAGTTAATCCAGAGCTTACCAAAAGCACTCAGACCGATCTTGACCTTTGCACCTCACCGCACCCCGTCAGTCAGGTCCTGGAGAAAAAGACGCGGCTGATCAAGAAGCCTGGGAAATCGGCTTCGGCAGAAGACTTGCTGGACAGGACAGAAAACCAGCCTATGACCATGCACGTCCGATCCAGGTCATCTCCCTCGGCGGATAAAATGTGCCAGGTAGGTACAGGTAGAGGAGAGATTTCCACAAGCTGCTCGTTGTTTGTTAATCTTGCGTCTTCTTATTTGCAAGGCACAGAGGGGCGTTTTTTGAAGCTCCACTAAACCTTGAGACAACTGAAGAACATTTTTCATTCTGTCGACACATTAGCACCTAATTTTCTGCAGCCACATTTCTGTAAATTTGGGTGGCAAGGTATTCCGCTCCCCACCCCCACCCCGCGAGGTTCGATCGTGGGTATACCTATAAAGGGAACGCGGTGACTCAGTGGCTAAGACACTGAGCTTGTTGATCTGTGAGGTCGGCAGTTCAGCGGTTCGAATCCCTAGCGCCACGTGATGGAGTGAGCTCCTGTTACTTGTCCCAGCTTCTGCCAACCTAGCAGTTTGAAAGCACGTAAAAAATAGGAGCCACTTTGATTGGAAGGTAACAGCATTCTGTGCACCTTCGGCCTTGAGTCATGCTGGCCACATGACCACGGAGACGTCTTTGGACAGCGCTGGCTCTTATTCAGCTTTGTAACGGAGATGAGCACCGCCCCCCTAGAGTCGGAAACTGCTAGCACATATGTGCAAGGGGAACCTTTACCTTTATACCTATAAAGATAGACTTACAAACCACAATTTCTATTGCTAAGCGAGGCAGTCGTTAAGTGAGTTCGTGTTAATGCCACAAAAGCGTGGCTGCTGACGGTGTTGATAAAACGGTCAGGCATTCAGGAAAGAGGGACATTGCAAATATAGATATGCAAATAGAAATTTGAAAAAGAGTTCACATGAACCTCCTAATACAGGTAGTCCTCGACTTACAACTGTTCATTTAGTGACTGTTCAAAGTTACAACGGCACTGAAAAAAGCGACTTAATGGCCGTTTTCCCACTCTTGCGTCCATTACAGCATCGCCATGGTGGTCACATGTTCAAAATTCAGAAGCTTAGCAACTGATCTGTGATGGTTGGAGTATCCTGGCCTGATGTGATTCTCTTTTGCGGCCTTCTGATGAACAAACAATAGGGAAGGCGGTCTCACTTAACGATCACGTTGCTGATTTAACAACTGCAGTGATTCACTTAACAACGGTGGCAAGAAAGGGCAAAAGGGCAAAACTCACTTGACAACTGCTTCACTTAGCGGCTGACATTTTTGGCTCCATTGTGGTTGTAAGTCGAGGACTACCGGTACAGCCACCAAAAAGTTGGACACAACTAAATAGTTAAAAACAATAGCAAGGCTCCCTTGGGTTTCTTAATGGCCCTTTCCACCCCCACCCCCACCTCTGAAATCCAACCTTATTTCGTTTTTTTTAAAAGAGTAGAAAGAAGAGAAGGCCAAGCACAGGTACAAATAAAAAGGTTTGTCTCAATTTTGATAAATTTCTGGAAGACTTAATTTGAGTTGCAGTTCGTTTCCCACTGGCCCAGCTTGGACTGCCGTTATAAATATAAAGGCAGTCCAAACATATATTTATTTTTTTTGCAAGCTCTCCTCAGGGAATGTAGTGTTCCGTGCAGCCTGGCTATAAATTATACAGCTGTGTCACCCAAGGAATTTGTTTAAAGAAGAGAGGAAATTGATAGCTGTGCAATCTCGCCAGCCGATCTGTCTTCGACCCGCATTCCTTCTCCTCTGCTAGAGCTTCTCTTTTAGCCTGTCTCAGCCTGCATGCCTTATGGGTCTCCCATGTATAAATTTGGGGGGGGGGGGCGTTGAAAGAGCCTCCCCCCCTGTCTCACCAGCTGCTGCCTTCCCCAGGGACAACGGAGGTAGGCAGTCTACAGCCGAAATAATCTTTGGACCCAGTAAATTATGACCGGCTGGGATCCCTGTCTCTTCAAAATATGCGATCTTTAGCATCTGGAGAAAAGCCAGTTTTGGTGGGGTTTTCGGGGTTTTCCCAAGCTTTTTTGTTTTTTTCCCCTCCCTCTGAATTTTTCATACTTGGAAACCCCAACTCTAGCCAGGGTGATCATTTAAATGCACAGAAAAATCACACCCTGATATCTCGTTGATGGGGAGCACCCATCCTATTCGATTTGGAATTCCTGCAGGGTGACCCCAGTTGTTGTTTCATGGGAGCCATAGCTTATGACCAGGGGTTGAAGTTCTCCCAGCGTGACAACCAGTTCGCTATTGCAGTTATTTACCTTCAGTGTTACCTCAGGGAAGTAACAGGGCTGAAGGGCGGCAGAGCAGATCACCTGAGCAGATATAGGTATAGAGTACAGCAGAGGAGCGGACGGGCAAGCCCACTTGATGGTCGGATCCAACCAGTTTGGAGTTAGCTGGTCATCGCAGCTAGGAGTTCACCCGAACTGGTCTGAACTGGGGGAATCCCACCAGGGGTACGATTCTACCAATCTGGCCTGGTTCTCGGGTACCGGTAGCGCTAAAAATCAGCTGGCAGACAACCAATTCGCTCCGAGCCTTTCCGACAGTCTGCAGTTGGGCCCTCCTGCCCGCCCTGCTCCTAGGTACTTTTTAACTTCTCAGCTGTTTGCGCAGCAGAGCGAATTGCTGTGTTAAACAGCTGTGAGAGGCGCAGTAGGTTAGTTTTTACCATTTTATAATGTGTGCGCAAAGCACGTGTTTGGGACACGTGCATCCACGATCGCGCGAGTCAGGCCATCCCACCCCTGCAGCCACGCCCACCAAGCCACTCCCACAGAACCGGTGGTGGGAACTTTTGAATCCTACCCCTGCGTACAACTTTTGCGTGAGCTCTGTCCCATGGATTATGAATTATTCAACTCACTGACGGGATAGGACAGTGCAGGGTAGTCCTCGCCTCACGGCTACAATTGGGCTCCAAATTTCTGTCGCTAAGTGAATTCGGCTCCATTTGACAACCTCTCTTGCCACCATTGTTAAGCGAATCGCTGCAGTTGTTAAATGATAGTAACCTGGTTGTTAAGTGAATCAGGTTGACTTTGCATGTCAGAAGGTTGCAAAAGGGGATCACCTGACCCCGGGACACTGCAAAACCATCAAAAAATATGTGCCCGTGGCCAAGCCTCTGAATTTTGATCACGTGACCATCACGGGGATGTCGCAATGGTCTTACGCGTGAAAAAGGGTCGTACATCGCTTTTCTTCAGTGCCATCGTAACATCAGTCACTAAATGAACAGTTGTAAGGATTACTGTCAATAATGAAGACAGCACCAAGGGCCTGGATTTTGGGCACCTGAATGTGGAGGCGCTACAAGGGTTGTAAGTGGGGAAAACAGTCGTAAGTCATTTTTCCAGGATCGTAACTTCGAACAATTATTAAATCAACTATTGTAAATCAAGGATTATCCACCCATTTTGTATCATGGTGTTCATTGGGGTGCTTTGTTTTCCATAGCAGACAGAGACAGAGAGACAGAGAGAGAGACACACACACAGATAGAGAAGAGAGAGAAGCAGAGAGAGAGAGAATAAGACAGAGAGACAGAGAGAGAGAGAGAGAGAGACAGAGACAGAGAAGAGAGCGAGGCAGAGAGAGACAAAGACAGAGAGACATACAGAGAGTCGGAGAGATACAGTCAGAGAGACACAGAGAGACAGAGAAAGAGACAGAGACAGACAGACAGAGACAGAGAGACACACAGAGAGACACAGAGAGAGAAAGAGAGAGAGAGACAAGATCCCTATTATTAGGGATCAACTGTCATCCTGTCTGGAAAAATCCAGATCTAACCCACGTCACCTTTTATTCTTTTTTTGTGTGTGTAACATTTTTTATTTTATATTTATCACCTTTTATTCTGAAGATCAGATAGCAAGCTGGAGAATTCAAAGAAGATTGAAATAGATTAAGAAAATTATCTTGTTTCTCGTAAGGCAGCTTTCGAAGTACTCATTTGCTTGAATCCCTTCTAATGCTGGCCTGTTCCTTGGCAGCTCGTATTTAGCTCATCCTACAGCTTTTATCTGCACTTAACCAAGCGGCACCATGATATACATATATGGGATGAAGAGAAGCTACAGCTTTATCAGCTAAAACTCCTGTTTTCTTCTGGATTACGCAATGCAGTTGTATTAGCAACAATCGTTGGAAGTCTTTTTAAGATTATAATTGGGCAAGTCATTATACCATTGGAAAATAGAGGTAGTCCTTGACTTATAACAGTTCGTTTAGTGACCTGTTACGATGGCGCTGAAAAAAAGCAACGTATGACTGTTTTTCACACTTACGACCGTTGCAACACCCCCATGGCCATGTGATCAAAATTCGGGTTCACGTTTATGATGGTTGCAGGATCCCAGGGTCACGTGAACCACTTTTGTGACCTCCTGTCAACAGGGAGGCCAGATTCACTTAACAACCAGGTTACTAATTTAACAACAGAAGTGATTCACCTGAAACAACGGTGGCAAAGAAGGTCTTAAAATGGGGCGAAACCCACTTAAGAAATGTCTCACTTAGTAACAGAGATCTTGGGCTCAGTTGTGGTCATACATCGAACACTGCCTGTAATAGACCAAAATCATTACATGAAACCCTTAAAACAGTCGACCATATACTAAATAAGCAACTGCAGCTTCCATGTTTCACTGGTACAGGGACGATAAAGCATTACAGATGGTACTTGACTTAAAGCTACAACCATTTGCAACAATTTAGCCCAAAATTTATATTGCTTTTTTTTGGGGGGGGGAGGGGGGGAGTTTTTTATTTTTAAATATACATCAATATCATTGCATAGACAGTGTGGCATCTGATTGTCAGTCATTTTGATACAAAAATAATGTTAATACAAGTGAAAAATCACTGCATTAATCAGAACGCGCATGGTTGTAATGCATATTTGTATCAGCGCATAGTCCTTCATTTTTTCAATTATTCAATATTTGCTACATCCTTCTAATAGGAATAGCATTGTTCTTGAGCGTACCTGGTAGCATCCTTTTTTCAAAATCCGATCTTAATCTCTTCGCGTTCATTTTAAATGTGTTATGCAAAAATATGTATAATAATATTTCCCCCTATTTTGAAATTTCTATTGTTAAGCAACAGGCGTACAACTACTCGTTTAGTGTTGGTTCGAATTTACAACAGCACTGAAAAAAAGTGACTGATTTTCGTACGATCATTGAAAGCATTTCCCTCCCGTCACACGATCAGAATTCAGATGCTCGGCCACTGACTCATATTTACGACGGTTGCAACGTCCCTGAGTCATGGAGTCCCCCTCTTGCGACCTTCTGATAAGCAGAATTGGTGGGGAAGCCAGATTCGCTTAACCCTGTTACTGGCTTAACAACTGTAGTGATTGACTCAACAACTGTGCGAAAAAAAGATGCAAAATGGAGCAAAACCCACTTAACCAACTGTCTTGCTTAGCCACAGAAATGTTGGGCTCATTTATGGTCGTAAGTCGAGGCCTACCTGGAAATGCAGCTGTGTTGCCGAGTGCTCATTGTGCGGTCATTTGCCAGTGAGGTCATAACCTCAAGTTATAAAATGAGGACTACCTAAGCTTAATTTATACCTATTATAAGAGCCATGGTGGCGCAGTGGTTAGGGTGCAGTACTGCAGGCTACTTCTGCTGACTGCTGGCTACCTGCAATTTGGCAGTTCGATCCTGACCAGCTCCAGGTTGACTCAGCCTTCCCTCCTTCCGAGGTGGGTAAAATGAGGACCCAGTTTATTGGGGGCAATAGGCTAACTTTGTAAACTGCTTAGAGAGGGACTGTAAAGCACTACGAAGCGGTATATAAGTCAAGGCCTACCTGGAAATGCAGCTGTGTTGCTGGGTGCTCATTTTGCTGTCATATTCCAGTGAGGTCATAATCTCAAGTTGTAAAGCGAGGACAACCTTGCTTAATTTATATCTATTATGAGAGTTGCAATGGCATAGTGGTCAGAGTGCAGTACTGCAGGATATTTCTGCTGACTGCCGGCTACCTGTAATCTGGCAGTTCGAATCTCACCAGACTCAAGGTTGAGTCAGCCTTCCCTCCTTGCGAGGTGGGTAAAATGAAGGCCCAGATTGTTGGGGGGCAATAGGCTGACTCTGTAAACCGCTTAGAGAGGGCTGTAGGTCTAAGCACTATTATTTGATAAGGAAGGAAGGAAGGAAGGAAGGAAGGAAGGAAGGAAGGAAGGAAGGAAGGAAGGAAGGAAGGAAGGAAGCCATTGCAGCACAGTGGTTAAAATGCAATATTGCAGACTGACTCTGTCCACTGCCATCAGTTCGATCCTGGACGGCTCAAGGTTGACTCAGCCATCCATCCATCCTTCCGAGGTCAGTAAAATGAGGATCCAGATTGTTGGGGGCAATAGGCTGACTCTGTAAACCGCTTAGAGAGGGCTGGAAAGCACTGTGAAGTGGTACATAAGTCTTAAGAGCTATTGCTATGCAATCTAATACCCATGGTCCTTGTCTGCTGAACCATCCCTGGGGCCTGACATTCCCAATAGCATCCCAATTAAACAATCTTATTTTGCTTTTAAGATAGTTAGGAGAATTAATCCCCCTCGGGGGCGGGGTTCCCATCCTAGCCAACAACTTTATTCCTTGCGTTCTCATATCTAGACTACCGGATGCAGGTAATTATATACTTGCGAGGCTCACTCAAAACCACGGGCTTTTCTTAAGCAGCAATAAAGCAGTAGCATGAAACAAAGATCTAATCTAATCTCACCCAGATCCTAAATATTTCAACTGGTTTCTTTTTGCCTTTCGTAATTCTCAAAACGAGCAAGGAAAAAGATGTTTTTTTTCTTTTTGAGAGTTTAACAAAAGTCGCCCAAGACCAAGAAAGAGGACGAGCCAATTGCTGGATGTGTATCTGTTATTTCCAGGTTTTCCAGCAGAAGTTTTAGGCTTTTAATATTTTACATGGCAGGCAGAAATGTGTCAGGGAAGAGGATATGCAGATGCAGTGATAGATTTTTTTTTGCCAAAAAAAATAGATAATTAGCTAGCATAGGAGACAGAAGCAGAGACCAGTCCTTTTCCGTCTGTGAACACAGAGGCAATTCAATTAACCTGCCCTTCCAAAACATTTTTCTTCTTCTTCCTTCTGTCCACTTGAGCGCGAGTAGTCCTCAACTTAACGACCACAACTGAGCCCACAATTTCCATGTCACATGTTCAAAATCCAGGCACCTGACTTGGGAAGGTTGCAAATGACAATCACATCACCCCAGGGAAGCTGGAACTGTGGCTAAACGTGCCAGTTGTCAAAATGTGCAAATATTGATCATGTGACTTTGGGGATGCCGCAATGATCGTAAGCACAAGGACTGGTCATAAGCAGAGGTGGTATTCAGCAGGTTCCGACCAGTTCTGGAGAACCGGTAGCGGACATTTTGAGTAGTTCGGAGAACCAGCCAATCCCACCTCTGACTGGCCCCGCCCCCATTCATTCTCTGCCTCCCAGCTGATCGGCTGGGTCTCCTTTGGTTCCCTTGCACAGGAGAACAGAGCTGGAAAGCAGGTTAGTGGGGTGGGGAGGGAATGGAGATTTTGTAGTATCATTCCCCTGCCACACCCACCAAGACACACCCACAGAACCGGTAATAAAACGTTTAGAATCCCACCACTGGTCGTAAGTCACTGACTTCAGTTCTGTTGTAACTTTGAATGGTTGCTAAATGAACGGTTGTTGTGAGGAAAGGAAAAAAGAAACCTCGCCCTTTAAGGAATAGGCAACACAACTCCTAACAGCTGTAAGTCGAGGACTACCCATAAAGCAGTCATCGTGCTTGACTTACGATCACAATTGAGTCGAAAAGGTGGGTTGTTAAGTGAGAAATATGTTTAAATGAGTTTTGCCCTGTTTTACGGCTTTTTTTGGGTCGGGAGGGGGATGCCCGTGGCCTGACAGCCACATTTGTTAAATGAATCACTGAAGTTGTTAAATTAGAAACATGGTTGTTAAGTGAAACTGGTTTCCCCCATTGACTTCGCTTGTCAGAAGATCGCAAAAGGCGATCATGGGACACTGCAACTGTCATAAATATGAACCCGTTGTCAAGCATCCAAATGTAAATCACGTGACCACGAGGAAGCTGCAACGGTCATAAGTGTGAAAAATGGTCATAAGTCACTTTTTTCAGTGCCGTTGTAACTTTGAATGGTTAGTAAACAAACTGTTGTGAAGTTGAGGACTATCTGCATTAGCGTGGGTACCCAAACATTATTTGCTGAAGTTCTCTTTTACAAAATAATGTGGCTTTTTAATTTGCTTTTAACTTCCTATCTCTTCTCCTTAAGGATTTCCAGGTGGAAGACAGTAATCAAATCTCTCATTTTATGAAAGATCCTTTCTACGTACTGGGTGCTACAAGCAGGTAAGCATGTTTGTATGGGGGTTTGTGTATGTGTTTGTTTTTGCAGGCCTGCTCCATCGGTCATCATTGAGGGTGTCCTTTTCTTCAACCCAAGAGCTCCGCGCAATTCCAAAGACTCATCACCCAAATTGGGCTAGTTTTAATTATTCATAGATTGCTTCCTCAAACATGGTGGGCTTTGCGTCAGAGCAAGAGAGGAGGGAAGCTAGAAACGACAGCCTAACAATGCAGAGGAAGGAGGGAGCGAGGGAAGGAAGGAAGGAAGGGGGAGGGAGGCAAGAGAAAGAGAGAGAGAGAAAGGGATAGAAGTGAGAGAGAGAGAGGGAGGGAGAGGGAGAAAGCTAAAGAAGGAGGGAGGAGAGAGGGAAAGAGAAAGAAAGAAAAAGGGAGAAGGAAGAAAGAAAGAGGGAAAAGAAAAGAAAGGAAGAAAAAGAAAGAAAAGAAAAGGGAAAGGGAGGTGAGAGAAAGAGAGGGAGGGAGAGAAAAAGAAAAAGGGAGGGAGGAGAGAGGGAAAGA